CCATGGTGCACGGGCTTAGTTACTCTGCGGCATGTGGGATCTTCCTGGACCAGGGCTCGAACCTGTGTTCCCTGCATTGGCAGGCAAATTCTTCACCACTGTGCCACCAGGGAAGTCCCTCGATTAACTAGATTTTTCTGATGCCCAACTTCCTCTATTCTTGCCCCTCCTTGTGTTCTTTTGACAATATTAAAACTCAACAAACGTTGTGCTCTAGACTCAGATCGTTACAATCCGGCTTCTCCTCTCCTGTTGGCCTGGCAGGACACCATGTGTGTGGTGGCCCCAAGACAGCGCAAAGCTGTGCTTCTGGCCTTTCCCTCTGTTGTGTAAATTGCTCCCCTCACTCGCCCCAATCAGGATCACCAAAGCTCTTCCTATGAATTTTCAAATATCAGAAAAGGCCCAGCTGAAAACTATTATCCTGAACATGGGAATCCCTGGTCAGAATTCAGGGGGTCTGTGAACCCAGATGGGGAAAATAACCTTTATTTTCACTAACTTCTAGCTGAAATGTAGCCATTCATCCTGTGATGAGTAGAGGTAGAGCTCAGTGGTGTTAGCAGGACCGTTGCCTCGGTCCCAACAGAAACCACAGGTGTTTTCGAATCACATGACAGTTGTCTCAGACACCGCCCGACTTTCGAAATGGCTGTAACTTGAGCTTCACTGCCTGGTCTCGTGGTCTCGTTTCGTGAGGCAGTAAAGAAGCATATGTGCTGTGTTTCACAATTACCACAAACGATTGTGTGTTTTTTTCATGTTTTCTTTTCCCGAGACCACCAGAGGGCGCCATCAAGGACCTGCGGGCGGGCCCCAGGGTGTGTGCGGGGGAGCCGCAGCCAGAGCCCGGCCGGAGCCTGAACCTGAGCCAGGGCGGGGTCGCAGCTGCCGCGGCCCTGGGGGCACTGAGCGCTCTCCCGCCCGGACCCCGGCGAGGGACGCGTCCTACGGTCGGACGTCGGCCGGCGTTGGCACGAGGCCCCTGCCCCACAGCTGAAGACGGACTCCATGGGGACCGGCACCCTGGGGCAGCGCGTGAGGCTGCCGATCAGGCGGCCGCAGAGTCCCGGGAGTGCGCGGGACCGGCGGTCGCCGCCGCCACCATCGCTGCTGCTGCTGCTGCTGTCGGAACTGGTGCGGGAGGGCGCAGCAGGTAACCGGGCGGAGTGGTGTGGGAGCCGGGGCGGACCCCCAATCGTCCCCCAGCCTCGCGCCTGCGGCGGTGCTAGGGAGAGATCCGCCAAGAACGCGGAAGCTATTCCGGGTTTGGGGGAGGGGGCCGGATGGTGAATTGAAGAGCTGATCCAAGATCGCAGGGGTCGCTGAGCCCCGGGCTAGGCAGGGCCCCTGTTTTGCCGCCTCCCATTTCAGACCCCTGATCGGACTGAGCGGTCAGGAGGGTGGGGACCCCGGGGGGCTGGCGGGACGCGGGGGCTGGCAGTAACCCCCCCTCCCCCGCCCGGGACCCAGCCGACGCCACAGTTTCCTGGGGGTCCCTTGGCCTCTCTGGAGGACGCCGCTGGGGACGCCCTGGGGAAGCTCCGTGGAGGCAGGAACCTGAGCGCCGCCTGCACAGCCTCTGCCTGCTAGCTCGGCGAGGCACCTGCGCATCGCTATAGGTCTCCCTGGCTCCTTGGCGAGGTTCTCTCGGGTTGCCCGGGCAGCCCCTTGTTGAGGTGGCGGGTGATGCGGAGCGACAAGGATTTTTCTGACCTAGCGGGGAATTTCCATCCTTTAGCCATTTCCGTTCTGCACGCAAAACCTCAGGGCCGGACCTCCCCCGGGATTCCCGACCGCTCCCACCGAGCACCGCCCACCCTGACCGCACAGATGCCCGAAAGTTTATTAGCACAGGCGGGAAGTGTCCACCATCATGGCAGTAATAATAGCTGATGTCCTTTATTCCAGGCTCTGTTCTAAGGGCTTCACGTCCAAGAAGCCATTTCGGCTCTTAGAACATACAAAATTTACAGTTTACAGATTTAAAATAGGGCCACGAGCGGGCGCTAGGTGGCAGCACTGGGATCCAGAGTCGGAGTTCTTGGCTTTTTTTGTGCTTGGACCCTGTCTCAGAATGTTTTTAACACATAAAATGAAATACATAGGATTCCAAAGGAACCCAATTATGTTTTTATAAAGCTACTAAAAAATTTACCTAGATATATAAGTTTGTGATATGTCATATATGTGCTTCTAAGTTAGCGCATTAAAGAGTGCATTAAATAGCAACAATTCCTAGAATTTGGAAGTAGTGAGGGTAAAGCACATTTCCAGGTGTCTGCAACAACTCTCACGTGATTCGAAACCATCTGTGGCTTCTATCAGAGACAAAAGCACAGGTTCTGCAAATCCTGCTGAGCTCTGTTGCCTCCATTCAGCATATGGGAGAAAGGCCAAACTTCGGCTAGAGGTTAGTGAAAATAAAGAGGTTATTTTTTCCCTCCAAGCTGAGGCTCCTGAACGCAATAGGATGCACCTCCAGGAGGATTCAGCCCTCAGCTCCCCATGGGAAATACTTGAAGGAGAATCACCCTGGATGCCTGGGCAGGAGATCAGTGGAGAGAATGGAGCCAGGGATGGGGACGAGTTTGGCCAGTGTCCCTGGAACAGGGACCCCAGGGAAGTGGGGCTGTGAACCTGAAAACCAGGACTGGTTATACTGTTTCTCTGGGCCAAGACTGTAACCAGTCCTGTTCTCAGGTTCACACAGCCCCTGAGGATCCTTCTTACAGCTCCCCCCAGGGGTGATACAGGGGCGCATAGGCGATTCCAGTTCTGCATGGCAGGGATGGTCATGGGTGTGTGTGCATAGACCCTGTAGCCTTGTGAGGGGAATGGTCAAGGCTGGCCCGGGGGGACAGGTCCCCAAGCCAAGGAGGAGGGAAGGAATGGAGGGTGACCCTGGTGTGTGCCAAACTGTAGGAAAGAGATGGCACATGGCAGGGAGGTAGCTAGGCATCTCCAGCAAGCCCCCTCAAATACTCCTGGGTGCCAGGCTTTCCCTGCAGGAAGTGGGGAATGAGGAAGTGGATTTCAAGGGGCAGATGTCATGAGTCATGCAGCAGGGAGTTCTAAGCCTCATAGCAGCACCCTATGACAAGGATTCAATTATTATCCCCATGGTAAAGATAGGGAAACTGAGGCTCAGAGAGAGGTTAACCGGCTACCCAGGGTCTCACAGAGTCTCATGGCTCGTTAGGATTTGGATTCCAGGCTGGCTCTAGAGCCCATGCTGCCTCGGCAAAAGCTGAGGCAGGGAGTCCTGGCCGGATGAGAGGAGATGGCAGAACTAATCCGTGGCCCTTGGGATCAAAACTGTGAGAGACAGATTAAGTAGAGGTAAATGATCACAAAGCTGGTTACTACAGCAAAGCTGGAATTAGGGCCTGGGGAGTGGGGGTGAGAGCAGGGTAAGGGCCGTACTCTTGGGTATCTGGCCTGGGCAACCAGCTGGCATCGAGACAGGAGCAGCATCAAGGGCAGGCTAGGGGAGGGACTGCAGAGGCCAGTCCTATAGAACTTCAAGGGCCATGACCACTGAGACTGCTTCTGGTCTCCCTCTTCCCATTTCCACCCTCCTCATGGGACTCTGCATGCCCTTGTTACTCTGCCTCCCCCTTCCTGCACTCCATCTCAGGTTCATCTAAGCCAGGGATTCAGGGTCCCCTCCGTGCTGTCCACAGCCACACCCTTTCTCTGGCCCAGACCTTGCCCTTGAACTCCAGCCCGTAGGACCTGACCCAATTTGGCCTCAAGGAGAAACGGAGGCACGAAGAGGCAAGCTAGCCCTTTTTTTCCTCCCCAGACTCATCTCTTGCATTTGTAGTCGTCCCTTGACCTTGGTTTTCGTGAACACACCACACTCTTTTTCATTCCAGGCATTCCCATGTGCTACTGCTTTTGCCTAGAGCAGTTCTCAAACCTTAGAATCACCCAGAGGGCTTGCTGAACTACAGAAAGCTAGGACCCACCCCCAGAGCTTCTGACTCTGTAGGGCTGGGGCCCAAGAATTTGCATTTCCCCAGGTGAGGCTGATGCAGCAAGTTCTGAAACTACACTAGACTCACACGAGCCCAAAATTTTCTTCCCGCCTCACCCACCCTCCTGCCTGGTAACTCATACTGGTGAGGTCTCCTCCAGGTTTCAGCCTACAAGACCCCTGACCTCAGCACCCTTCTGCCCCAGGATGCCCCCGGCACCTGGTACTTCTGCTCCCCGACACTTGTCAGCCCCCACTGGCCTTACTGGATCTGCTTGTTTAATTGCTCAGTTGTCCCCTTCCCTGCCAGACCTGAGCTCCCCGGGGGCTACGTCTGTCTCTCTGTCCCCACACACACCCCCACCTGGCTCAGTGCCTGGCTTGTAGTAGGTGCTCAATAGATATTTGTCAAATGAGTAATATTGCAAGCGGAGAGGTCAGGGCTGGCGCAGCTGAGCAGGTGGGCAGGGCAGAGCCAGGTAGAGCCAGGAGTACCTGGGCGGCACATGAGAATCACCTGGGAGTTTTCAACGCCCGCCAGTGTCCAGCCCTCCCTTACCCCCAAATCCACTAAATCCATATCAATGGCAGGATTGTCAAAGCAGTGTTGGGGAGCCGGATGGAGAACCTCTAGCAAAGCCCAGTCCTGTTTCCCTCCTCTCTAAGTGGGAACAGTCAAGACCTGCCTCTCAGGAACACAGGGAAAACACCACGAATCAATACTTGTAAAGCTCAGGAACCACGCCTGGCACCAAGGCCCAGAGCTCAGCCCTGCTGGCTTTGTGCCTGGATGCTGGGCGGAGTTTCCAGCCACTTCTGTGGCAAAGGCCCCACGCCCCTCTTCCCTTTCAACGTGCCTCTCACCGTCACCCCGTACTGTCTCTCCCAGCAAACACAAGGATGCGTAGGATGTTTATGCCTCGAGATTCATACTTCCCTTTTCCATTTCTCCCTTGCAGAGAGTCCCTGGGGGCTGCCCTTGGTGGCCGATAGCCCGGCGGCCAGGGCAAAGGTGGTGATGGCAGAACTGGCACACCTGAAGTTGGAAGAGAAGCCATGGCCTACAAGTAAGATCGTGCCTACCTGCCGAACAAGGGGGTAGGATGGTGGAGGCCAGGAGCCCCCAGTCTGCAGGAGGCCGTGTGCACAGTCTGGGAATCTGGTGGACTGTCTTGGGGCGGGGGAACTCTGCCAGGGTAGAGGACACAGAGGCCAGAGCCTTTGGAGGGTGTCCCAGGGCATGAGACCTGACCTCCAGCGAGCTGGCCCCTCACTCGGTCATCTTTCCCCACCCCCGACTCCAGCTCTCTCCTTCCCACGGCCACCTCTCCCTTCAGAATAGGAAAGCTCTAGACTAAGACGATGAGGTCTCCATGCGGGTACTTCTTGCTTATTTTCATTATCTCACTGAATGCTCTAGCACTCTGGAGCAGGTCAGCTAATTGCACCCACTTACAGATGAGCACAGCAAGGCTTGGAGCTGTGAAATAACTTCCTCAAGGCCGCGCGGCTAGGAACTGGCAGTGCTACAAGTGAGGCAGATGCAAAAAAAGTCTCCTGGGCAGAGTGGGAAAGGGGCTGGCCTCCTCCCTCCTCCACCACAGTCAGAGGAGGTAAAAGGCTGGGCCAAAGCGGGTGCAGGACTGCTCCTTGTTGGGGGCTGGCCACATGGCCCAGTGACCAGGAGGTGGCAGTGGAGGGGGTCGGGGTGGGAAGCTGATGATACAAACAGACCCTGAAGCAACGATGGGCATGTAGCCACTTCCTTAGGCCATGTCACAGCAGAAGCAGATCTCCCTGGACGCCTGCTGTGTGTCCCCCACTTCCTCCTGCCATGTTCCCACAGTGCCTGGCACTGACCCCCCAGCCTGGCAGGTGGTATCACCTCCAAAGCCAGGAGATGGCCTCCTTCGGCTTCTTTTGCCACACTCTGGGCTGCAGCCTAAGGCATGATGATCCCTCCTGGGCCCAGTTAGCAAGTGGGAGCCTAGTCCCAGCTGAGACTGTCCTCCTGGGGAAGAGATGGGAATGGGCAGGGTGTGAGCCCCTGCAGAGAGCCGGCTGGCTTCTCAAGACCATCTGGCAGGCAGAGCAGAGAGCAGTGGGATTTTCAGAGAGGAAGGGATGGCAGGCCCCTCCCTGGATACATGGGAGGTGGTACCTGGAAGTCAGCTGAGGGTGTCACAATCATGAACTTGCCCTAAAAGCAGGTCCTTGACTCTCAGGATGGGTACCAGGTGCCAGGATGTAGGCCATGGTGAAGCAGTCCAGGGCAGAGCAGATGCCAGGAACCAGAGCCCTCGTGGCAGGGAGGGCTAGGCCAGAGGGCTATATCCAGGCCATTCCAGACACCATCTGGACAAGCCTGGGAAGGAGTCAGAATTCAGCCCCTTCTTTCACCCCTACACCTACTACACTGAATCACACCACCATTTTATTTTTCCCCTGCATTCTTGCAGCAGCCTCAGAACACCCCAAGCATGCTCCTGCCTCAGGACCTTTGCACTGACTTTCCCCGCTGCAGACCTGGAATTCTGTCTCCCAGATCTTTACAGGCTGGTTCCTTTAGTTCTTTAATAGTTTCCTTTCTGGGAAGGCCTTCCCTGCCCATTCTATCTAAAAATTTCAACTCCTCCCCTAACATTTTGTATATCTCTGCTTTATTTTTTTCCCTCAGCACTTATCACTATCCAGCCTACCATACCTTTTACTCATTTATCTTGCTTATCCTACATTCATGTAAGCTTCCTGAGAGCAGGCACTTCGGGCTCTTTGGGTTATCCCAGCGTCCCCAAGGCCTCGGAGATAGCCAAACGGTAGGTGCTCAGAAAGTACTTGCTGAGTGGGGCGGCAGGGTGGGTGGGCCCTGCTGGGCCATATGATCTAGGCTGCCAGGATGAGCAGAGCTGAGCCATCTTAAATTGCAGCCAGGATGGTGTCTTGGGAGGGCAGAGAGTGGAGAGATGCCATGGGGAGGGGCCTTCTCATGTGTCCCCAGCCACTCAGTGTCACCCAGAAGTGTGTTCACTAAAGGGCGGGTTTATTGTAAAGATCAACTGAGATAGTGAGTGAGGAGCAGTTAAACCAGTGCACCCAGTGGTCATTCCAAAAATGGCAGCTGTGATTATTGTCACTGCCATTCATGTTCTTATTTTTTGTCCAGTTCAACAAAGGCCAGAAGTAAGCGCTCACTGTGTGCCAGCTGTGCTGCTAGGCCCTGGGGAAACAGCGATGACAGAGTCAGATGTATTGCCCACCCTCATGGAGTCCACAGTTTCACAGGGAGCACAGGACACTATTGAGACCCCTCTGAGGGACATCAGGCTGAAATCAGGAGGACTTCCTGGAGGAGAGGACACCTTACTGCAACCTGAGGAATGAGGAAACTGGCTGAGAGAAAACAGAGAGGGGAGTGCCCAGGGCAGAAGAAACAAGCAGGTGCAGAGGGCCTGGGCAGAGTTTGGTGTGGCCTGAAATAACAAGAAGGCAGTAAAAAAAGAGCTGTGAGTGTGGAGATGTGTTTGACTTCTCCTTTCTCACTTGAATGCTCAACCATCGAGCACCTACTGTGTGCCAGAAGCTAATCTAGGTGCTGGGGAAACAGAACAATCCATACAGGAATCGCTGCCCTTAGGGAGCTTACACTGCAAAGGAGAGACAGACCATTAACAAGACAAACAAAGTGCATATTCTCTTGGAAGTGTAGTGCTATGGAGAAAAATAACAGGGACAGGAATGTTGAGGGATAAAAACTTCTGAGCAAAAATTTTTTAAAAATTAGGTAAGAGGGCTTCCCTGGTGGCGCAGTGGTTGAGAGTCCGCCTGCCGATGCAGGGGACACGGGTTCGTGCCCCGGTCCGGGAGGATCCCACATGCCGCGGAACGGCTGGGCCCGTGAGCCATGGCCGCTAAGCCTGCGCATCCGGAGCCTGTGCTCTGCAACGGGAGAGGCCGCAACAGTGAGAGACCCGCGTACCACAAAAAAAAAAAAAAAATTAGGTAAGAGAGTAAGCCAGGGATATCTCTGAGAAATGTGGCCTGAGTTTCTTAAGATACAGCATTTGTTTTAATAGCTTGAGTCAGGACTGGCTGCTAAGTAGATTTCATCTCCAGCACCAAGTTTAATTGATGAGTTGGCGCTTTTGGAAACATAGTAGAGAGGCAGCATTTGGACTCAAAGAGAAAAGAGATTGACTAGTAACGTCTGCTGTGGGAGCAGGAGGGAGTGGGGAATGGAGTCAAGATGCCACCAGCTTGGCGGCAGTGATTCAAGCTAAGAATGATAGCCAACCTTTCCCAGGCATGTCTGGGCAATGAATAATTCCACATAAATTAAGCTTCCAAACAACCAACTCCTAAAAAGAAATCTTTTTAATTGTGAAATGGGAAACCAGACAATCATACTTATTAGAGATGAGTATAAAGTATGAGTATAGGGCTTCCCTGGTGGCGCAGTGGTTGAGAGTCCGCCTGCCGATGCAGGGGACACAGGTTCGTGCCCCGGTCCGGGAAGATCCCACATGCCGCGGAGCGGCTGGGCCTGTGAGCCATGGCCGCTGGGCCTGCACGTCCGGAGCCTGTGCTCCACAATGGGAGAGGCCACAACAGTGAGAGGCCCGCGTACAGCAAAAAAAAA